TGGTCAAACTTTAGCCTTTGCCCTGCTTTATTTTGTACTTCAAGGACAGACTTGCCTGTTACTCCAGATATCTCTTGACTTCCTACTTTGCATTCCAATCCCCTGTGATGAATAGCACATTGTTTTTTGGTGTTAGTTCTAAAAGGTCTTGTTAGTTCTTCATAGAACTGTTCAACTTCAGCTTCTTCAGCATTACTGGTTGGATCATAGGCTTGGATTACTGTGATATTAAATAGTTTGCCTTGGAAACAAACCAGATCATTCTGTCGTTTTTGAGATTGCTCCCAAGTACTGCATTTCAGACTCTTTGTTGATTATGAGGGCTACTCCATTTCTTCCAAGAGATTCTTGCCCACAGTAGTAGATACAATGGTCATCTGAGTTAAATTGGCCCACTCCAGTTCATTTTAGTTCACTTATTCTTAAAATGTCAATGAGAATCTCCAGGGAATCTGACTTTGAAGGTCAGCGGGATTTGGTTATAGAACTTCCACAGGACTGGGAAAACAGACTCTTGGAGGGCACAAACAAAACTTCGTGCACCCCAGAACCCAGGAGAAAGGAGGAGTGACCCCACAATAGGCAACAGACTTGCCTGTGAGTGTCCGGGAGTCTCTGGCAGAGGCGTGGGTCGACAGTGGCCTGCCTCGGGGTCAGCAGCTGTTCTGGGATGTGTGCTGGTATAAGTCCTTTTGGAGGAGGTCTCCATTACCCTACGGGGAGAGAGCACAGCCCCACCTGTCAGCAGGAAATTGGATTAAAGACTTACTGAGCATGGCCTTGGCCACCAGAGCAAGACCCAGTTTTCCCCCTTTCCATCAGGAAGCTTGCAGGGCAGACAGAATGAAAACCACAATCACAGAAAACTAACCAAAGTGATCACATGGATCATAGTTTGTGTAACTTAATGAAACTATGAGCCATGCCATCTAGAGCCACCCAAGACAGACAGGTCATGGTAGACAGTTCTGACAGAATGTGATCCACTGGAAAAGGGAATGACAAACCACTTCAGCATTCTTGTCTTGAGAACCCCATGAACAGTTTGCAAAGGCAAAAAGATATGACACTGCAAGATGACCCACCCCACCCCCTACCCCCCAGGTCCAATATGATACTGGAGAGGAGTGAAGAAATAGCTCCAGAAGGAATGAAGAGGCTGTGCCCAAACAGAAATGACATCCAGTTGTGGATGTGTCTGGTGGTGAAAGTAAAGTAAAGTACAATGTTGCATAGGACCCTGGAATGTTAAGTCCATGAATCAAAGTAAATTTGATTCAAAGTGGTCAAACAGGAGATGGCAAGTGTGAACATCGATATTTTAGGAATCAGTGAACTAAAATGGATGGGAATAGACAAATTTATTCAGATGGGAGAGATTGGTGGTAGGAAAAACTGGGTCTTGCTCTGGTGGGCAGGGCCTTGCTCAGTAAAGCCTTAATCCAATTATCTGCTTTTGGGTAAGGTTGTGCTCCCTCCCTGGTAGTTTCTTGGCCTGAGGTGACCCAGCCCTCAAGTCTGCGATCAGGTTAATGGCGACCTCCAGGAGGGTTTCTGCCAAGGGGGGCCTTTCCAGACTGCTGCTGCCAGTCCCTCCCTCCCCGTGGCGAGCCCCTGCCAACCCACAGGTCCGCAGGAGGCCCAGCCCTAGCAGGTAGCGTCCGTTCAGTCTCCTGTGGTGTCACGGCTCCTCTCCTCTGAGTCTTGGTCCACGCAAGGTTTTGTTTGTGCCCTCCCAAGACTGGAGTCACTGTTTAGCCTCGTAATCAAATCCTGCTGGCCTTCAAGGCCAGATTCCCCGGGATTCCCACTCCTTCTGTCAGATCGCCGGTTGGGAAGCCTGATACGGGGTTCAGAACCTTCACAACAGAGGGAGAACTTCTTTGGTATTAATGTTCTCCAGTCTGTGGGTCACCCACCGGTGGGTATGGGATTTGATTTTACCGTGATTGTGCCCCTCCTGCCATCTTGCTGCAGCTTTTTTGTCTTTGGAGGTGAGGTATCTTTTTTTTGGTGGGTCCCAGCATCCTTCTATTGATGGTTACTCAATAGCTAGTTGTGATTTTGGTGCTCTTGCGGGAGGAAATGAGTGCACGTCCTTCTACTCTGCTATCTTGTACCGGAAGCCAACTGTTCCATTCTTGAAGAGCTGTTTTTTGTTTTTTGGGTTTTTTTTAAAGTGATGTGGGTGGGGTGGTCTCCAAAGCCTTGACTGTTTACTGTGAATTTTACAGAAGAGGTTCCCCAACTGCATTTTATATTTCCTTTTTCACAAGGGCATTAGAGGCCAAGAGGCACTTGAATTTATTATTATTTTTTAAATTTTTACTGGCATATAGTTGATTTAGAATGTGTTACTTTCAGGGATACAGCACAGTAAATCAGTTACACATCCATCCTCTTTATTAGATTCTTTTCCCATCTAGATCGCTACAGAGTACTAAGTAGGGTTCCCTGTGCTATACATTAGTAGGTTCTTGTTATCTGTTTTAGATATAGTAGTGTATGTATATTTTTCAATCTCAGACTCCTAATTTATTCCTCTTCCCCATTTCTCCCTGGTAACTGTAAACTTTTCTACATTTATGACTCTTATAAATAAGTTCATTTGTACCATTACTTTTTAGATTCCACATGTAAGGGATACATGATATTTGTCATTATCTGACTTCATTCAGTATGATAATTTCTAGGTCCATCCATGTTGTGGCAAATGGCCTTATTTCATTCCTTTTTTATGGCCCAGTATTATTCCATTATATGTATGTTCAGTTCGGTTCAGTTGCTCAGTCGTGTCTGACTCTTTGTGACTCCATGGACTGCAGCACTTGGAAGCCAGGCTTCCCTGTACATCACCAACTCCCAGAGCTTGCTCAAACTCATGTCCATCGAGTTGGTGATACCATCCAACCATCTCATCCTGTGTTATCCCCTTCTCCTCCTGCCTTAATCTTTCCCAGCATCAGGGTCTTTTCCAGTGAGTCAGTTCTTCACATCAGGTGGCCAAAGTATTGGAGTTTCAGCTTCAGCATCAGTCCTTCCAATGAATATTCAGGACTGATTTCCTTTAAGATGGACTGGTAGGATCTCCTTGCAGCCCAAGGGACTCTCTAGAGTCTTGTCCAACACCACAGTTCAAAAGCATCAGTTCTTCAGCACTCAGCTTTCTTTATAGTCCAACTCTCACATCCATACATGACTACTGGAGAAACCATAGCCTTGACTAGATGGACCTTTGTTGGCAAAGTAATGTCTCTACCCCATCTTTATCCATTCACCTGTCAATTGATGTTTAGTTTGCTTCCATGTCTTGGCTATTTNTTTTTTTTTTTTTTTTTTTTTTTTTTGCTTGTAACTTTTTGAATTAAGTTCTTCTCTGGATATATGCCCAGGAATGGGGTTGTTGGATCATATAGCAGTTCTGTATTTAGTTTTTCAAGGAGCCTCCAATACCAGTTTCCATAACGGTCGTAACAATTTACCTTCCTACCAGCAATGTAGGAGGGTTCCCTTTTCGCCACACCCTCACAAACACTTAATGTTCAGTTCAGTTCTGGCTCTCAGTCGTGTCTGACTCTTTGCAACCCCATGAACTGCAGCACGCCAAGCCTCCCTGTCCATCACCGAGTCCTGGAGTCCACCCAAATCCATGTCCATTGAGTCAGTGATGCCATCCAACCATCTCATCCTCTGTCGTCCCCTTCTTCTCCTGCCCTCAGTCTTTCCCAGCAGCAGGGTCTTATTGTTAGTCTTTTCTTTTTTTTAAGAGATACAGTTTTAAAATATTTTAGTTTGTTTGGTTGGTTGCCCAGGTCTTAGTTGTGAATACAGGATCTTTGATCTTTGTTGTAGCATGTGGGCTCTTCAGATGCAGCACAGGGAAGTTTTTAGTTGCAGCATGCAGACTCTTTCTTGTGGCATGTGGGATCTAGATCCCTGACCAGGGATCAAACCCAGGCTCCCAGCATTGGGATTGTAAAGTCTTAGCTTCTGGATCACCAGGGAAGTCCCATCTCATTGTAGTTTTTTTTTTGTTTTTTTTTCATTGTAGTTTTGATTTGCATTTCTCGAATAATTAGTGATGTTGAGCATCTTTTCATGTGCATCTCGGCCATCTGTATGTCTTCTTTGGAGAGATGTCAATTTAGGTCTTTGCCCATAGTTTGATTTGGTTTTTTGTTTGATATTGAGCTTATGAGCTATTTCTATATTTTGGAGATATACATAGTGAAGTAATTCAGAAAGAAATAAAGATCATTTATTAATACATACATGTGGAATCTAGAAAAATGGTACAGATGAACTTATTTGTAGGGCAGGAATAGAGACAGAGAATGGACATGTGGATCCAGGTGGGGATAGCGCACGGGGTGTGTGAAATAGAATGGGAGACTAGGATTCACATATTTACACTACCATGTGTGAAATAGCTAATGTGAACCTGCTCTGTAGCCCTGGAAACTCAGCCTGGTGCTCTGTGATGACCTAGATGAGTGGGGTGGGGATGAGGGTGTGAAGGGAGGTCAGAGAGGAAAAGGAGGATATTTGTATGTGTATAACTCATTCATTCACTGTATAGCAGAAACTAACACAATATTGAAAAGCAGTTATACTCAAGTAAAATTTTTTTCTGATCTTTCATTAATTTTGTATCCTGCAGATTTTCCAGATTCGTTGATGAGCTCTCATAGTCTTCTGATAGTGTTTTTGGATTTTTTGTGTATCTGCAAACAGTGACAATTTTACATTCTTGTTCCAGTTTGGATTTCTTTTATTTCCTTTCCTTTTCTGATTGCTGTGACTAGAATCTCTAGAACTGTGTTGAATAAAAGTGGCAAGAGTAAACATCAGGAGGTTTTGGAGGAAATGTTTTGAGTTTTTCACCTTTGAGAATGATGTTGTATGTAGCCTTATTATGGTGAGGTAGATTCTCTGTATGCCCACTTTCTGGAGAGTTTTTTTTTTTTTTNGTCTTCCTTTAACTTTCCTTTCAGCCTCTCCTCTCAGAGGAATCGAGCTATCAGTCTGCTATTATTCTTCCAGATCTTTAGAAATAAGTTTATATACAAACATATAAATGTGTCAATGGCAATATAGTCTTTCTGTATTTACATAACAGGAAAATACCTCTGTTTTAAAAACTTGAAAATACCTGGAAGGTTTTTCGATGTTCTTTTGAACTGCTACACAGTATCCCAAAAGTGTGGATGTACAGTTTAAACATTTCCCTATCGAAGGCCATTTAGGTTGTTTCTGATTTTTCAGTATTACAGACAGGCTGAACATTATTGAAATCATTTTGTATAGATGTGACTATGTCTTTAAGATAGAGACCTAGAAATGGAATTGCTAGGTTAAAGGGTACTTGCCATTTAAGTTTTAACATTATTACCTAACTATTCCCCAAAGTTGTTACAACTTATAGAGGATGCAACACATTTCCCTATACCACTTCTAACACCTATCCCAGTGCCTGATGTGTAGCAGAGGCTCAGCTAATGTTGAATGGATATGAGAAACAATAATTGATGTCTTTAAAAAGTTAACAATATTCCACCTTTAGTACATTTCAAATTTTAATTTCATTTTACCATAAGAAACCAGATTCTAAAATCTTCTAATCTCAACCTAGAGTATGGAATCATATTCAAGACTAGATCATTTCCTGAGAAATATCAGAATTTCACAAAAGTTTGAGCTAAGAATCTAACCTGGAATCTAACCTCATTTATCATAGTAGTACTGAAAGTAAGGTAGCCCACGAGATTCTGCTTGGTTAAACTAACATAATCTAGGGATGCATCAATAAAAATTGTTTCCAGGTTAGGAAAAAAGATTATTCCTATGCAGTTTGGAATGTATCACTTTAACTTCAGTCACTGTATACATTCTACTATTTGTTTATAAAATGACTCTAATAGGGCAGAGGTTTTGACTACTTTACTGAAAGTGGTACCCCAGTGCCTACAAGAACACCTGGCATGTAGTAGTTCTATAAATACTTGTTCAATGAATGAAAGCATGCAAGAATCTAGCTTTAACCTGAGGGATGTGTGAAAGATTTTTTTCAAATAAAAGGAAAATGATCTCAGTATCTGTCCAATTACCTCTTTGCAAATCTGCTTCATTGTGACTTCCTCCAAGTTAGCACTGGCCAATAATTTCTTTACTGTTTCCTTTAACTCTTCATCTGTAGGAGGTTTCTTCAATTTTTTAATTAAAGGTTCATCATCCGAACTATCCTCAGATTCACTTTCTATAAGTAAGATATTTTATGACATGAAAATAAATTTTTTCTTACATAGAAAAATAAATTAATATTCAAGACAGATTAGGAAAGATTCTATAAACATTCATCAGATTCTTGAAAAGGTACTAAATTAAAAAAATTATAGATCACTGCTCTATAGTACCTATAAAACATGCACTGAAATTTTTGTCGATTTTGAAAAATGATAAACTACACAAAACTGGTATACTCCCCTCAAAGTTCTTCATAGTTTACCTATTTTTCACATATGTTTAAAAACCACACTATAGCATATTAAGTTGTAGCTTTAGGGTTGCTGAAAATGTGTCATTTCTAACATACCTTTTTTGGAACTATTTTGATTCTTCTTGGTGGTACTGCTATCTGCCTTCTTAACATTAGCACTTTTTACAGATTTTTTACTTTTAGGAGTCGCTTTCTGTTTGGACTTTTCTCTCTTGGATGTCTTTTTTGGTGGCTCCTCTTCACTCTCTTTATCTTCATCCTCTGAGGACTCTTCTTTGTTTTTCTTTTCCTCTTCATCACTGCTAGATTCATCTGACAGGATTTCAGGACATTTGGTTTGCTTAGCTTTCCTGGCCATCGCAGAACTGTTCCGTTCCTTTTTGTTGCCTTTGCTAGAACTTTTCTTAGATTTTGGCAATGGTTTGCCAGAAGGCTTTGGATGCATTAAAAAATTCAAGATTCTTTTCACCAGTTCACTATTTACACCCGATCTCTCCAAGTCAAGAACCTCGCAGATGCTCTTTAACATGGCATTTCTAAATTTTTTCAACATTTCTTCCTTCTTTTTATATTGGATACTTCCTTTTTCAAATGGAAAGCCACTGAACTGACCCACATTCTTCTTTAATGAGGACACTGTTCCTGGTCTGTTGTAAAGCAGTTTATGGAGATTTCTAAGTTCATCTGTTTTCTTCTTACTCAAAAAGAAATGTATCCTTTCAATTTCACAAAGTTTCTGCCCTTTTCCTTGTGCGATTGTAAACGGCTCTCTTTGTAAGGAAGAGACTTGCATCGTCAACCTCTCTACTTTCTTCTTCTCCCTCTTGCCTTCCACAATGAGGCTCTTTCCTTTCTTTTCTTCCTCCTCCTCCTCGTCGTCCTCGTCCTCCTCTTCACTTTGCTCTCTCAGGCCGGGCATGTCGGGCTCTTTTTCGGACGCGGGCTGGGCGGGGGCTGCCTCTCCCTCCGCAGCTGTGCCCGAGGAGGACATGCTGTGGACCGCGGGTCCCGGCGGCCGCGGGCCTGGCGTGGTTCACACCAGTGTCTCCTTGCCTTGGCAGGTGGATGTTCATGCACTGTACCAGCAGGAAAATCCCCGTTTCTAATTTTCTTGATTTGAGCCCTCTTCCTTTTTTTCTCCCTTTGAGTCTAAAGGTTTATCAGTTTTGTTCATCTTTTTACAGGACCCATTTTTATTTTCATTGACCTTTTCTGTTGTTTTCTTCATCTTTCTATCATTTATTTCTGCTCCGGTCATTATGATTTCTTTCCTTCTGCTAACATTGGGGTTTATTTGTTCTTTCCCTAGTTCATTTGTGGTGTGTGTGTCTGTGTGACTGCACTGGGTGTCTGCTCTGTGCGGGCTTTCTCTAGTTGTAGTGCGTGGGTTACTCCATAGTTGCGGTACATGGGTTTCTCATTGAGGTAGCTTCTCATGTTGCAGAGCATGGGCCTTGGAGTACAGGCTCAAAAGTTGTGGCACGTAGGCTTAGTAGTTCTGTGGCATGTGGGATCTTCCCAGACCAGGGATTGAACCCATGTCCCCTGCATTTGGCAGGTGGATTCTTAACCACTGGACCACAAGGGAAGTGCCACAGTTAGGTTATTTGAGATATTTTCTTGCGTCCTGAAGTAAGGTTGTATTGCTTCAGCTTCTCTCTTAGAACTGCTTTTGCTGCATCTCATTGGTTTTGGATTGTCATGTTTTCATTGTCATTTGTCTCTAGGTATTTTTTTTTATTTCCTTTTTGATATCTTTGGTGATCCATTGGTTGTTGAGTAGCGTATTGTTCAGCCTCCATATGTTTGTGGGTTTTTGCCGTTTTTTTCTTGTATCTGATTTCTGATCTTATAGTATTGTGGTTGGAAATGATGCCTGATATGTTTTCAGTTTTCTTAAATTTACTGAGGCTTGATTTACGGCCAGAGATAAGCTCTATCCTGGGGGATGTTCCATGTGCACTTGAAAGTGTATTTTGCTGCTTTCTAATGGAATGCTCTATAAACATCAGTAAGTCCATCTGGTCTATTGTATCTTTAATGCTTATGTTTCCTTATTGATTTTCTGTCTGGATGTCCACTGGTGTAAGTGGATATTAAAGTCCCATGCTATTATTTTTTTCTTTTTTTTTTCTTAATATATAATTATATTTTATTGAAATATAGTTGACTTATAATGTTTCAGTTGGTGATTTAGTTATACATATACAAATATATTATTTTTGAAATTATTTTCCATTATAGATTATTACAAGATATAGATTATAGTTCCCTGTGATGCACAGTAAACCTTTGTTGCTTTTGCCTATTTTTAATGAACAATCTAAATTAATGGGGAACTCCAAGAGGGTTTATGCCAAGGGCTACCCTGATGGCCTTCTGCTGCCAATGCCCCATTCCTGTGGCGAGGCCCTGCCCCGTGGTGAGCCTCTGCCCAGCTATGCCTCCATAGTCGTCCCTCCAGTACTAGTAGGTGGTTTTAGCTCAGTCTCCTGTGGGATCACTGTCCCTTTCCTCTGGATCTTCATGTATGAAAGGTTTTGTTTGTGCCCTCCAAGACTGGAGTCTGTGTTTCCCCCAGTCCTGTGGAAGTCTTGTAATCAAACCTCACTGGCCTTCAAGGCCAGATTCCCCGGGGAGTACCATTTCTTTGTCAGATCCCCAAGCTGGGAAGCCTGATGTGGGGTTCAGAACCTTCGAAACGGGGGGAGAACGTCTTTGGATTGTTCTCCGGGTTTGAGTCGCCCGCCTGGTGGGCGTGGGGTTTGATTTTATCACGATTGTGCTCCTGCAGCCACTGGGCTACGTCTTCCTCTTTGTTTTGGACGTGGGGTATCTTTTCTTGGTAGGTTCCAGCATGCTCCTGTCAGTGGTTGCTCGACATCTGGTTGTGATTTTTTTGTGCTCTCACAGGAGGAGATGAGCAAATGCCCTTCTATTCTGCCATCTTGAACTGGAAACATTTTTCCACTCTTAAAGAGCTGCTTTAAAGAAAAAAGTGATGTGGGTGGGTTAGTCTCCAAAGCCTCGATTGTTTACTCTCATTTTTACAGAAGAGGTTCCCCAGCTGCATTTTATATATCCCTTTTCACAAGGGTAGTAGAGGCCAGGAGGTACTAGAATTGATTAGTATTTTTTAAATTTTTATTGGAATATGGTTGATTTATAATGTGTTACTTTCAGGTATGTAACAAAATAAATCAATTATATTTATATCTCCACTTTTTTAGATTCTTTTCCCGTATGGGTCATCACAGGGTGCTCAGTAGAGTTCCTTGTGCTCTACAGTAGTAGGTCCTTGTTAGTTATCTGTTTTATATATAATAGTGTGTTTATGTCAATCCCAAACTCCTAATGTATCCCTCTTCCCCATTTCCCCCCTGGTGACTATAAGTTTGTTTTCTTCATCTGTGACTCTTTGATAAATAAGTTCATTTGTACCATTATTTTTTTAGATTCCACATACAGCAATATGTGATGTTAGTCCTTATCTGACTTCATTCAGTATGACAATCTCTAGACCCATCCTACTGGGGCAAGTGACATGATTTCATTCTTTTTTATGGCTGAATAGTATTCCATTATTAACCTGTCAGTTGATACTTAGGTTTCTTACATGTCTTGGCTATTGTGAACAGTGCTGTAGTGAACACTGGGGTACATGTTATCTTTTTGAATTAGTCTTTCTCTGGATATATGTCCAGAAGTGGGATTGTTGGATCATGTAGTAGGTCTGTATTTAGTTTTTTAAGGACCCTCTATACCAATCTCCATAATGGCTGTAACAATTTATATTCCTGCCAGCAATGTAGGAGGGTTCCCTTTTCTCCTTACCCTCACAAGCATTTATTGTTTAGAGACTTTTTTTTTTTAAGAGATACAGGTTTAAAATATTCTGTTTGTTTATTTGGTTGCCCGGGTCTCGGTTGTGGAATGCAGGATGTTTGATCTTCGTTGCAGCGTGTGGGCTCTTCAGGTGCAATGCAGGGGAGTTTTTAGTTGCGGCATGCAGACTCTTACTTGTGGGATGTGAGATCCAGATTCCTGACCAGGGATCAAACCCAGGACCCCCAGCTTTGGGAGCGTGAAGTCTTAGCCACTGGATCACCAGGGACATCCCAGAAGACTTTTTTTTAGTTTATTTTCCACTGGAGGATAGTTACTTTACAATGTTGTGTTGGTTTCTGCCGTAGAATGGCATGACTCAGCCATAAGTACACATAGATCCCCTCCCTCTCAAACCTCCCTTCTCCCCCCTGACCTTGTCCCACCCCTCTTGGTCGTCACAGCTCGAGTTGAGCTCTTTCTGTTTGTCATACGGCAGCTTCCCACTAACTGTGTTACATATGGTAATATGTATGTTTCAGTGTGGCTCTTTCAGTCCATCCCATCCTCTCCTTCCCCTGGTGTGTCCACAGGCCTGTTCTCTATGTCTGCATCTCTGTTCCTGCCCTGCAGGTAGGTTTATCAGTACTATTTTTCTAGATCTCACATATGTAGGTTAGTGTTCAATGTTTATTTTTCTCTTTCTGACTTAATGTTGCTCTGTAACAGGCTCTAGGTTCATCCACGTCACTAGAACATCAAAAAAATTTTTTTTATGGCTGAGTAATACTCCATTGTGGAGCTTCCCTGGTGGCTTAGTGGTAAAGAATGCCTGCCGATGCAGGAGACTCAGCTTGAAATCCTGGGTTGGGAAGATCCCCTGGAGAAGGATCCTCTGGAAAGAAGGCAACCCACTCTAGTATTCTTGCCTGGGAAATCACATGGACAGAGGAGTCTGACGGACTACAGTTCATGGGGTCGCAAAAGAATCAAATACAACTTAGTGATTAAAACAACAACAACAGTATTCCATTGTGTATGTGTACCACAAATTCTTGATCCGTTCATCTGTCAGTGGACATCTAGGTTGCTTCCATGTCCTGGCTGTTGTAAATAGTGCTGCAGTGAACCTTGGTGTGTATGTGTCTTTTTGGACTATGATTTTCTCAGGGTGTATGCTCAGTAATGGGATTGTGGGGTCATATGGTAGTTTTATTCGTAGTTTTTCAAGGAATCTCCATACTGTTTTCCATAGTAGCTGTATCAATTTATAGTCCCACCAGCAGTGCAAGAGGGTTCCCTTTGTTTCACACCCTCTATAGCATTTATTGTTTATAGATTTTTTGATGATGGCCGTTCTGACTTGTGTGAGGTGGTACCTCATTGTAGCCTTTTTCTTTTTTACTTTATGTATTTGACTGCCTTAGTTGTGACCCATGAGATCTTTCTTGTGGCGTGGGGGCTCCAGAGCATGCAGGCTTCAGTAGTTGTGACCTACAGGCTCTGGAGTGTGTGGGCTCAGTAGTTTTGGTACATGGGTGTAGTTCCTCCATGACATGTGGGACCAGGGATTGAACACACATTGCCTGCATTGCAAGTCAGATTTGTAACCACTGGGCCACCAGAAATTCCCACCTGATTGTAGTTTTGATTTGCATTTTTCTGCCAGTTACTGATGTTGAGCATCTTTTCATGTGCCTCTTAGCCATCTGTATGTCTTCATTGGAGAGAGGTTAATTTAGGTCTTTATCCATAGTTTGATTGTGTGTTTGTTTGGTTTTTGAGCTACATGAGCTGTTCTGTGTTTTAGAGATGTACAGAGTGAAGTCAGAGAAAAATAAATATTGTATATTAATGTATATATGTGGAATCTAGAAGAATGGTACAGATGAACCTGTTTGTCAGGCAGGACTAGAGAGACACAGATGTGGGTGTGGGGGGTGGCTGGAAGGGGAGTGTGGAATGAATTGGGAGATTAGGATTCACATATTTACACTACCGCATTTAAAAGAGAGTTAGTGTGAACCTGCTGTATAGTGCAAGGAGCTCAGCTTGGTCCTCTGTGATGACCTAGATGGGTGGGATCGGGGGTGGGAGGGAGGTGCACGAGGAGGAGGATATATGTATACACATAACTGATTGATTCATTCTACAGCAGAAGCTAACACAACATTGTGGAGCAGTTATACTCCAATAAAAT